AAAAAAAAAAAAGTTAAAGGAAGTTCTAAATGCTATCACTTCACTTAACCCTTAACCGCCTACTCAAATGAAACCACCAAAAGAATGAACAGTATTGGAAGTAGTAAATTTTTTCTTCATTTAAAAATGTATTTAAAAGGTAATTGTGTAAAGCAAAAATAATAAAAGTGCATCTTGAAGTATTACATGACATGCAGAAATAAAGTGCATGACAACATGTCACAATGGGTGGGAGGGGAAATTGAAGTATACTGTTATAAAACATGTATATTGTATATGAAGTGGTGTGTTATTAATATTTGAGGGTAGAATGTGATAAAATAATCATGCCTGCAGGAAACCCTAGAGTAACTACTAAAAACAAAGTGGACGTGTAGATATCAAGCCAGTAAAAGAGAATGCTGAAAACTATTCAATTAACTTAAGGAATGCAGAAAAAAATGGAACAAAGAATAGATGGCACAAATAGAGAACAAAAGAGCAAGATGGGATTTAAAGCTTGCTACAGCAGTATCACATTAAATGTAAATGGTCTAACCAAGGTTCGGCAAATGATAGCCCACACGCCAACCTCCTATTTTTGTAAATAAAGCTTTATTGGAACACAGCCAGGCCCATTCATTTACACATTTTCTATGGCTTCTTTCACACTGTGTCATGGTGGAGCAGTTGCAATAAAAACCATGTGGCCTGCAAAGCCTAAAATACATACTATATGGCCCTTTAGGAAAACATTTGCTGGTCTATGGTCTAATCACTCAAATTGAAAAGCAGTGATTATCAGAATGGATCCAATGTAACACGTAACTATTTGTTACCTATAAGAAATTCATTTTAAATATAAAGACACAGATGGGTTAAAAATAAAAGAATGGAAAGAAATACCATTGCAAATACTTCCCAGAAGAAAGCTGGAGTGGCTTTATTGCTATCAGACAAGTAGATTTCTGGATAGGACACAGTATAGAGTTAAGGAGAAACACCAACTCCAGAAATAAAAGGGTCAATTGATCATGAAGACATAACAGTCCTCAGTGAGTATGCTCCTACTAACAGGGCATCTACAACTGACAAGACTGAAAAGAGAAATAGACAAAACCATAGTGATAGTTACAAGTTTTAGTCTGTCTTTCTCACTGTGTGATAGAACAAGTAAGAAAATCAGTAAGGATGTACCAGTCATTTACAGAACATCCGCCCACCAACTATAACACACACATTTTCTTTCAAAGGCACATTTGCCATAAGACACATATGCTCTGCTATAAAACAAGGCTAAAGAAATTTTAAAGGTTTGGAACCATATAGACCATATTCTCCTCCCACCGTGAGATGTAATTAGAAATCTATAATAAAAGTTCATCCTGGGATTATCCCTCACGGTCATGCTGGGTGTCCCCTTTGCCTGTCTCCCTTATTGAACCCCTTGTCTCCCTGTTTCTTGGTTTCCTTTATCGTTTTGGCGGAGCGCCTTCCCACAGTGCTGTGAGAAAGGACGCAGGGCTGCCCCGTGCCTCTTCTCTTTGCCCTGGGCGTCCACTCCCCGTCCTCCTTGGCCGTGCTCGGTGCACTGGGAGGTGGACCCACACCGATGGTGTCAGCGGGCCTGTTGTCCTCTGACTTCTGGCAGCGTTTACGGGAGTGCACGCCAGCGGGAGAGGAGGGGAGGAAGGACAGTGAAGTTATGTTTTGGCAGGTCACTCAGTGCAAGGTATATGTTTTTGAAGCGAGGTCACAGGTCCTACAAGGCAGTCCTGTCCCTGTGTACTCGAGTGCTGGTCACAGCTCTTCCCAGTCCCCTTTGGGCCAGGGGCTGGTGAAGACCTGCTGGTCCTAACTGCTCACTTTATTATCCCTTCATGGTTTTCCTATGATCTGATCACACATTTGTTAGATGGCCTCTTTATTAATTTCCTCAAATCACCCTGTTTTGCACTGGCTGTTTTCCAGCCAGGATTCTTTATGATATAGGAGGCAATAATTTTAGCAACTTGTTCATCTAAAAAATGTATTTATTCTGCCCTCAAAATATGCTGATTATTGGGCTAGTATGGAATTGCAGATAGAAATATCCACTCTATTGGTTTAGGAGTCAGATTTCTCTAATCCCTAAGTTAGTCACCACCTGCTTCCTGCTTTCCAGCTTCTAACTTATTTTGGTACTATTTCTTCTTCCATTTACCTTGTCTTTTTGGATTTATGCTTTTTTGTCTTATTTATTCTTAAATCTCTGCACTATTAATTTAATAGGCTATCAAGACAGAGGCGAGAAGCATTAGTTTCCTATTGCTGCCATAACAAATTACTGCAAATGTAGTGTCTTAAAAAACACAAAATTTTCTTACAATTCTGTAGGTCAGAGAGTGACATGGAATTCACCCAGATAAAGCCAAGGTGTTGGCAAGTCTGTTTCTCTGGAGGACGACCCATTTCCTTGCTTATTTGGGGTCTGGCAGAATTCAGTTCCTTGTGGATGTAGGGCTGAGGTCTCTGCTGCTTGCCGGCTGTGAGTGGGGACCGCCCCAGCTTCTGTGGGCCGCTCACACTTGACTCCTGACCCCTTACACCACCTTCAGGGCCATCAGTGGTAGATCGAGTCCCTCCTACGCTTTGAATCTCATCTCTCCTCTGTCTTCCGTCATCGGTTCGCTCTCTGATCACAGCTGAGTAAGATTCTCTGCGTTTAAGGGTCCACCCATATCACCCAGGATAATCCCCCCTTCTCAAGCTTGGACTCTTCATCACATCTGCAAAGTCCCTTTCCACGTAAGGTCACAGACTCAGATTTCAGGGATCAAGGAGTGGACATTCTGGGGGACCATTACTGAGCCCCGTGGGAGGTGAATGCATGCATCTAATCGCCGTAGGCAACTGAAGCCCGCAGGCTCCTAGGGAACGCTGGCGAGATCGGCGGTTCAGGGAGGGGTTCAAGTCACACCTGCAGAAGGTGAAGGTACTGAATGTTTTAGCCCAGGAGATAAGAAACTAGAGGTGAGAACTACTCATGAATCATTTGCAAAGAGTTCATAAGTTTCTATGTATAAAATAAAGCAAATTTGTTTTGAATAAATCCAGAAGGAAAAACTAGGATTAATGGAAGATGGCTGTAAGGAGGTAGATGGGTCCAACAAAAGAATGTTCTAAATTAAGGGCTGATTAACAATTGGGAGGTCCACCTTAGGAGGCAGTGACCATTCTGTGTTAAAGCAAGGGTAGGAAAAATTTACTAGGTTAATTAACGTATTATTCAGTCACTCATATAGTCAACATGTACACTGATTGTCTTATACCAGGTCCCCCCTCTCCCTGTCTGCGGTTTTCACTTTCCATAGTTTCAGTTACCCACGGTCAGCTGCATTAATATTAATATAATTAATATATTTCATTAATAATTAATTATTAATAAAATATTAACAATTTATTAATATAATTAATTAATATGATTTATTGAGAGAGACCATATTCACATAATTTTTATTACAGTACATTGTTGTAATTGTTCCACTTTATCATTAGTTATTATTGTTAATTTCCCACTGTGCCTAATTTTAAATCAGACTTTATCATAGATATGCACGCACAGGAAAACACAGTGTATGCAGCGTTCGGTGCCAGTGCGGTTTCAGGCAGCCATGGGGGTCTCGGGACGTACTCCCTCAGACTAGAGGAATACTGTGTGTGGCAAAGAGAAATTAAAGCACACTTTACTTCCTGCTCCCAAAGAACTTTCCAGAGAACATTTCATGACTCTGACCACAGCCTGCTCCCTCACGCCCCGTCTGTCACGCAATAACCGTTTACTGAGCTGCCACAGCGCCCGGCACCGTCCACACCGAGGCCACGTCAGTGAGTGAAACGGACACACCTCTCGCCCTCCAGCGGCTGCCTACAGCTCTGTCCTTGTGCCTGCTCAGTGTCCGTGCATCCGTCCCTCTTCTCCGTGTCCCCAGCCATGGCCACCACTTGGGTCTTCTGTGTCTTCCCTCAACGATCGCAGTGGCACTGAAATGTTCTTTTCTTTAATCTGTTCTCTAGCCCGCTTGTGGACTCATCTTGTGGAATCCATGCACAATTATCTGACCCCACCGGCTCCATGCTGAAGGCGGAAATCAGGGCAAGCGCCGCGGCCCGGCCGGCTGGGCCCTGCTCACGCACGCGGCAGCCGCTCCACCTGCGCCTCCGCCACGCCTCGCAGGCCCTCAGCGCCAGACCCGACGAGCAGCCACGTCCCTGCCCGCCGCGCCTTCCCAACCGCCCCGCGTGTCGCGACTGTCCTCGCCGGAATGACTCCTCTCTACCCAAATCCCACCTGTCTCCCAAGTCTCCGGTCATTGTCACCGTGTCTACAGAACTTTCATAGTTTTGTTAATGCTGTCACTTTCCTCTGAAGCCCACAGCGCTCAGGCCACGCCTGTGTGCAGTCATTTACTGGACTTCACATAAGCACACATTCTCCTCCCTCGTTGCTTAAAGGCTCTGCAAAGCCGAGTTCATCTCTGGTCTATTTTGGTACCCTCAGTGCTGTGCACGCATTTACTTCTTGAATGACCACAGTGCGAGACGACTTGGAAGTGAATTCCAGCCTCATCTCTACTGTTTGAGCGACGGAAGTGCGTTCACTTGTGCCACCTGCACAAGCAGCGCACGCCGCACGCTCTGAGCGCGTTGCTCCCGGGAAGCGGCGAGCAAGCGCTGCCTCCGCACTGAGGACGCCCAGTGCCTCCTCTGCGGAAACGCAGGAAGGCCATTTGTCCAGCCCCTGTTTTTGTGGAGGGTTTAATAAAAATTATCCCAGAAGGAATAAATCACCTTTTGACAAGCAAGTCACAGGAACTCAAGTGTCACCCTGGGGAACTAGTGAATAGTTGGTTGGCCTGGAAGGGACCCACGCAAATCTGAGCTCCAAACTTTAGTGAAAGTGGAAAATGGGTGGATATCCCATTGTCAGCCCTCTTGCCTTTGTTCCTGAGGATAATATTTTTGGCAAATCAAAACTGTACCTGAGCAGGCAACGTGACAGTGGTTCTTCTCTTGCACCTTTTCGTATCTGCACCACGTGAAACTGTTTATCTGAAAAATGCCGTAGTCGACACTGCCGTCGTCCAGCGTGGTCTGCGCGGTGGTGTTGTAGCCGCTCTCGTAGTACGCCATGCAGATCCCTAGGAAGGGCCAGGCCCCGGTGCCGGGAGAAGCAATGCGTTCCCCCTCAGCCGGCCCTTGGGGGCTTCCTTATCCCACTCACCTAATTGCCTCCTCCCAACAAGCCTGGGGTGCCGGGCAGGGGTGGGCCCAGGAGCACACAGGGACAGCGCTTTGGGGGCTGCGGTGGCACACCTAAAGCTGCACACCTGGTCAGTGCCGTGCCTAGTCTAGGACCAAAAGTGAAGTCCTCCCCCGACGATGCCAGCAGGGAGGCATGGTTTCCCGTGCCTCGCTGGAGCTGGGGTTGTCACAGGGCTCCAGGACTGAGGGGCGAGGGGCAGGGGAGGGATGGGAGGAGGGCGGTGTGCGACCGCCCAGCAGCCATCCCTGGGCGCGGGGCATGTTCAGACCATGGACAGGCTGGGAGCAAACAGAAGAGAGTGTAGCTGGGGCCCTCAGCGTGGGTCTCAGTGGACAGGTCAAAGACAGAAGGGGTGCAGGAAGGAAAAAACCTCACAGTTTCCAAGGCTAAAGCCCGCGTAATTGTCCAGGCCAGCCCTTGAAAATATTTTTGCCAGTTTGCAGCGCGTGTAGACCTTGGACTCCGTGCTTGTGACCAGACAGCCGATCAGGGCCAGGACCCCTGCAGCCTTCATCCCCGAAGCCTGTTGGGGACAGAACCTGTGGAGGATCAGGAGCCCAGGTCAAACATGCAGGAGTTAGCCCAAGGTTTTGCCCGTGGCTGACGGCGGCTGTCGCCGCGACGGCCCTGCCTAGATCATTTTGCCCGTCACTCGCAGCCATTCCGAGCCAGCGTCAGGGGCAACGGGGAAGCACAGACGGTGCAGTACAGGCGAGGCACGAGACTGCAGGCAGCTTCCTCAGTGCTTTCGCACAGCTACTCTGAACGCAGTGCTGTGCTCCTGGCTCCAAGCCAGCAAAGAACTTGGCCCTCCTTCACTGACGTCCGGGTGGGAAGCACGGGGATCTCCGTGACTGCCATTTGACTCTGAACTGAGAAAATAGAATGCAAAGGCTGAAGCATTTCCTACATAGTTGACCCTTGAGCAACATGGTTCTGGACTGCACGGGTCCGCGTACACACAGATGTTGTCAATGAAAGTTGCCCGAGCTTGCCGGCCTCCTGATGTCCTTCCGTGTCCTCCCCGTCTTCTGCCTCTGGCACCCCGGAGACAGCAAGACCCACCCTCGCCCCCCTCCTCCTCCTCAGCCCACTCAGCGTGAAGATGATGACGATGAAGACTTTTATGCTGATCCACTTCCACTTAATCAACAGTAAATGTTTTTTCTTTCTTCTGGTTTTCTTAATAATGTTTTATGTTCTCTAGCTTACTCCACTGTAGGAAGGCAGTATCCGATACATATGACATACAAATACATGCCAATCGCCTGTTTATATTATCAGTAGGGCTTCCCGTCAACAGTAGGCTACTAGGTAAGTTTTGGGGAGGCAAATTTATATGTGGATTTTCAACCACAGGGGAATTGTGCCTACAAATTTGCATTGCTCAAGGGCCAACTATACATGCAAACACAGCCCCCTGTTTCAGGCAGAGATGAAATACTGCGGCCCTGCACGGACACCTTTAATATTTATTGTTGGAGTCCATTGAAGGGAGAAGATCAAGCATCTTATCTTTCTTCTATTCGCTTATCTGGCTTCAAAAATGTCAGTCTTTTATCTTTTATCACAAATGCAATGTTTTTCGGGCTCGCCACTGCTACTCTGGGGGGCGTCCTAAAAGCCCGCAGCTGAGTGCAGAGCCCTGGGTGTGGGCGCAGGGGTGAGAAAGAGACCTCCACGGAATTGCTGATTAATAAAATGGGGGTAGGGTCAAGCGCGCCACCTCTTGTTGGCTACTGGTTTTGCACAATCCCTTCCCCTCTTGAGATAATATGTTTTCCTCACATATAACCACCTCACTGGGATGGGCCGAGCTGAAATCTCTGATACCTGCTTAGGATGCTGAACCCAATGTTCAGACATATTTTCATTTGGTGTCATTTTCTACACTTGCCCAGAAAATTTTCAAGTTATTAGTTTCTCTTCTAGGGACTAGGTTTAGTCCCATGGAGAGGGGAGGCTGAAAACAGGGCTGAGTATTGAGCAAGGACAAAGCAGGGAGTCACAACGTGGGCTTTAAAGTAACTAAGCAACAAGGTCACTGACTGCGTTTCCCACGGGGCACGGGGATGACACCCTTACGAGTAGCAGGGCTGGCAAGCGAGGCCGGCTTCTGTAGGGGAAGTTTTACTGAAACACAGCTACGCCCATCTGGTAGTATGCTATCCTGGCTGCTTTCCCACCCAGGGGCAGGACTGAGTAGTCGTGCTGGAGACTGTGTAGACCGCAAAGCCTACGATATCATCCTCGTTACGGAACATGTGCGTCCCTGGTGTGTAGATTGCGCCAGGCACCGAGAGGCAAACCAATGAAGTCTGAGATGCAGAGCTGGTACGGAAACTTGGTTTCTGTCCCCTGTCTCAGAGTCTTACTGATCTCCAGCCTAAACAAACCCCCACAGCAATGGTGACCCTAAGCATAATGTTCTAATCCTTCGAGCCCAGGGTTACCCTTGCTGGCTCTTCGGGACAGGTGGCTTCATCAGAGTAACTCAGGTTTTGCTGAAAAGGTAGATTCCTGGTGTCTTCCCCCACAGATTGATTTCTCGGGTGACTACGTGGAAGGCACACCCAGCTACTCACTCAGTCAGTGACTGGCAGCTCACAAGAGCTTCCCGCATCCGGCAAAGCCATGTCTGACTCTTCCAAGGCACGAGTGAGCCCCTTCTTTGCTTAAGAACCTTCCTTTAGAGCCTTAGAGAAAGAAGAATTCTTACCTCCTTTGTTTCCAACTGCCTGGAGATGCTAGAATTCTACTTCTTGGGACATAAGGCCATAACATCCTGCACTCTTGTGTTCTGAGACAGATGATAACTACATTCTGGGCCTTCCTACCCCTCTTTTTTCTTCTTCCCCTGTCAGTAACCCTCCTTACTCCGCAACTTGGGCAGGGCCGCCCATCCAAGCGAGAGCTCTTCTATAAAGCAGCAGTCTCCAAACACTATCACAGATCCAGTCATCAGTGAAGTTAGGCATGTACCCTAGTAGTTGTTTACTAAATTGTAAATCACACTCCTGTTCTTTTGTACTAATATGTTATGTAAATTATAAACATACACAAAACCAAAATTTGAAAATGGATGAGACAGAGGTGAAATTAACATTAAACATTTTATTAACAGTATATTTCTTTGCTATCATTCAGTTGTTATAAATAAAATATTTTTACTGAAATCAGTGATTTTATTATTTTTGAAAACTTTGCTTTAATATTTTGTGAATCAATAATTAAAGGGCTAGTTTTAAGGTTTCTTAATTTTCATGTTTAGATTTAATGACACATTTGAAATTAATTCTTGCTGGGATGTGTAGGTCTAAGTAGAAGTTTATTGTTGGTTGCACATAACTATCATTATATTTTCTTAAATTCTATCTGCCAATATGCAAAGGTTTTGTTGAAATCTATTTTTAAGTATGTTTATTGTTACATTGTGCAGATATAATAACTGTAACTGCACTGTAATGACATAACTTATTTAGCCAATTCCATATTGATTCACATTTATATTATTTCATTCTTCTATAATAAACATATTACAGTTAATAACCTTATACATATGTCATTTTCACCTTCACAAGAATATCTGTAGGAAAAATTCCTGGAAATGGAATTTTTAGGTCAAAAAGGGTAATTTAGTAAATTTTCTAGATAGGTTCAAATTGCCTTCCACATGGGCTCATATCTGGAAGATGAAGCTCTTTTCCTATTGCCAGGCCAGTACACTTATCAAACTTTTCAATAGTTGCCAATGTGAGAGAGGAAGCCTGGCATCTCAGCACAGTTTCAATTTCTACTTCTCTTATTTCAAGCTGGTTTAGGAGCCATTTGTGAATTTTTTTCTGTGAACTGTTTATGATAAGAGAAAATTATAGGTTTATTCTTCAAACACCTTTTCAAAATGCTTTTAAATAGGGATTTTACTAATCAGTGAGAAAATAGGGACAGATTGTTTTTTTTTGGCCCTTTAAAAATGCCTATTCAGCAAGTTTGTAGGATACAAGATAAATATACAAAATTCATATTCTTACATACTATATTACTATTCATATTCTTATATGTTAACAATAGAAAATAGAATTTGAAATTTTAAAAATATCATTTATAATAGCACACACAAAAGGATGAAGTACTTGAATTTAAATTTAACAAAATATGTGTAGGATCTACATGCCGACAACTATAAAACAGATGAAAAATTAAATAAGACCCAAATATATGGAAATGATATACCATGCCCATGAATTTGAAGGTTCAACATTATGAAGATTTGATCTATCGATTCAATGGAATCCCAGAAAGTTGTTTTGAAAATATCAGTAAGATGATCCTAAAACTTATATGGAAAGGCAAAAACACTAGAATAGCCAAAACTATTCGGAAAAATGACAAAAGTGAAGGACTCATACTACCTGATTTCAGGACTTAATATTAATATGAAGCTATAGTAATCTAGACAAGTGATACTGGTGGAAGGATAGATGCATAGACCAGTGGAACAGAATGGAGAACCCAGAGATAGACCCACAAAAATATAATCACCAGAATTTTTATGAATATGCAAATTCAATTCAATGGAAAAATGATGGTCTTTTCAACAAATGGTACTGGAATAATGGCTATCTATGTGCAAAACAACAGAAACAACTAAAATTTAAAAAGGCATGTTAGAGGACATACACCTCATACCTTATATAAAAATTAATCTAAAATGGATCAAAGACCTAAATGTAAATATTAATAGTAAAACCATGAAACTTGTAGAAGTAAACATAGAAAATCTGCAGCATTTTGGGTTTGCCAATGAAATTTTAGATACAACACCAAAAGCATAATCCATAAAAGAAAAAAATGATTAGTTGGACTTGATCAAGATTAAAAACTTTCTTGGGAGAAATATTTACAAATCAGACATATGATGAAAGCCTTGTATCTGGAATATATAAAGGACTCGTAAAATTCAACAATAAGCAAACAAAATAACCCAATTAGAAAATGGGCAACCAATCTAAGCAAACACTTCATCAAAGAAAATATACAAGTGGCAGATAAGCATATGAAAAGATGGTCAACATTATTTGTCACTAAGGAAGTGTAAATTAAAACCACAATCAGGCATCACTACCCGCCAATTAGAATTGTTAAAAATCAATCAAACAGACAATATCAAATGAGGATGAAGCCACAGAACAGTAAGAACTGCCATTTATCACTGCTGGGAACAAAATGCACTGTCACTTCAGAAAACAGTTTGGCAGTTTCTTATGCACTTAAATATAGAATTATCATATAAACCAATAATCACACTCCTTGGTATTTATTTAAGTGAATCAAAAACTTATGTTCACACAAAAACAAGCGACCCAGTGTTTATGGCAGCTGTGTTCATAATCACTAAAACCCGGAGGCGACCAAGCTGTCCTTCAGCGGGGGGCGTGTGGGCGCGGGCGTGGGGCGGCCACACACAGGAACACTGCTCACCTTCGAAAGGAGCAAGCCATTGGTTACCATAGCAACATGGATGAATCTTAAAATCGTTTTGCTAAGTGAAGGAAGCCAGACCCAAAAGACTACCTGTGATATAATCTGCATATATGACCTTATGGGAAGGCAGAACTGTGGGGACAGGAAACAGATGAGTGCCTGTCAGGGGCTGGAGGAGGAACTGACCGCAAAGGGCCACACAGCTTTCATTAGGTCCGCTGTTCCCCATGGTACTGGGGTAGTGGGCTCACGACCTCATTAATCTGTCGAAACCCATAGAATCATACATCGCAAAGCATGAACGTCAGTGTTTGCAAATTTAAAAAAAAATCACCCAGGATGTGGGGAATCCCAGGATGGAATTCAGATTGCGAACAAAAGACCTAACTGCATCCCAGACGTGTGACAGGTAGGGAGAGAGTTACTGACCTAGGGCACTTTGGAAAACGGTGTTTTGACTGCAGTCTAAAGGCAGAAAGATCGGTATATGAACACTGTACTCTGGTTGATAAATTTGCTTCTCGCAGGGGTCAGGTCAGTTCTGAAACTACTTTACATGTAAAACTGGGATCAAACAAATGGGTAAATAAATTGTAAATCCTGGGGGCCAGATTTCACACTGTCAGAGAAAGAAGTTACGAATAAGCCAGAGAGGAAGACCAGAATAATCCCTGTGGTGTTGGATTAGAGTCAGATAGAAAGTAGGAATTAATCTACCTCTCTATTATCTATCTTCAGATCAACAGATTCAGATACAGAAATAAACACAGAACTGTGCATCTACATGGGATCGCACACATACATCGATTCTTAACTCTGTCTCCCAAGAGGACCTAGAAACCTGACACCCCATTAGCAATGAGTATACTCGGCCCCCAGATCTGCTTCTAATACCATTCCATTCTCCCAGGAATCCCTGCACACCGGCTGATTTTAGGACTGGGACGGGGAGGTGCAAGATGCGCCCGAGGCCACGCGTTCCTGCGGGAGAGCGAGGTGGCGCGGGGCGAGAGGACGCGGGGACCAGGCTGAAGAGCCCCAGTGGCCACACCGGGGCGTTCTGAACAACAAAATAAATAACTGTCGTACCGGATTAAAACTCAGAGAATAAAATAAATATGTATGAGTCCATACTAATATAAATAAATGACTGAACACATAAATATCTGAGGAGAGAAGCAAGTCTGACTTATAGAAGAATTCTAAACAATCTATGTAGATAATCCTCCTCCAGGACACGGAGCTTCATTCTCCTCCCTCCGAGCAAGGCTGGACTTAGGCACTCGCTTCCTACAGACGGAGTGTGGAAAGGGGGAGACCGCGACTTCCCGCGACACCCAGTAGCCTCCGCTGTGGCCAAGCACCCACAGGAACCTCAGCACGGATGAGCCCTGTTCGTCCCCTGATGGGAGGGGACGAGAAGGGCACGTCACCTCCGTGGTTTTCTTCCCCAGATCCGTAACCCCAGTTGGATCATGAGAAAACTCTGGTGACCCCCAGTGCGGGGCATCCTACCGCACGCCTGCCCGGAACTCCCCAGACACGCCACAGGCATGAACGGCAGCGCCGAGAGACTGCTGCGGACCGAGCAGGCCGAGGGAACATGGTTTCGAGCTCGCCACGTCGCTAGTGTCACCTGTTTTCTGTCGCAGGGTCCAGTGTGGAGCCCTGGCTCGGATCCTGTTGCAGAGAAAGGCAGGATGGGAAGGCTGACGACATCCGAGCAAAGCCACCGTCAGCGCGCTGCACTGGTGTCAGTTTCTTAGTCCTGACAAGGTCGCAGGAGGGAAGGGGTGGGCTGTGCCGTCTGTGCGAGTTTTCTGTAAATCTAAAACGAGCACAAAGCCAGTTTAATATCTGCTAGGCAGCATGCTGCTGAGAGCCACTTTCGCACCACAAGCTGCGCAGGTTTGGAAGACCGGATTATGGCAAAATAACCGCGGGTACCAGCCTTCGTGCCCGATGCTTGCCACCACTTTGCCAATGAGGAGCCGGGACACGTGTGCCACTAAAGAGTTCAGAGTCGCTTTTGTTCTCATTACAAATTATTGTGGAGATTCCATTACATGGAGGTCTCATTTTAATAAAATTAACCACATTAATTTAACCCTACCAATATAGTCTGATCCCACTTATTTTTCGTTTAAAATGGGAGCACATTGGTGATACCTTGTGTCCTCTAAACTGCCATATATTCCAACAACCTAA